ATTGGCCTCGTGAATTTTTTCACCCTACGCCGCAGTAAACAGGTATCCGTGAAATGGTTCAGGTGGTATAATCGGACGGAGCGCCGATGATGGCTCTATCGCGCATGCCCGGGGTACAGGCGGGAAAACGAAATGTTGGGTGTCTTCGGCTCAGATTCTATGGGGTGTGGGAAAAGCGTCGTTGGTTTTGAACAGAGGGTTGCGATATTATTTCGATTTCGAAGTTTTCTGCCTTTGGTTTGTGAATTTCATTCTGTATTGATTGTTGATAAGAATTATTTTATGAGTAATGATCTTCTGGAGAAAGTATTTCATAGGTAGTTATGTGTGCGTGTGTGTGTGGTTCGTGAAGTTGAGGGTAGAATGCTTATAATTGTAAAATTAGAGCATTCTTCGATCAAAGTGGATCTGATATTTTTGTTTAGTAGTTTGTGCTCAGTTGCAATCTTCGATAGAGAGTTTGATGTTACAAGATAAAGGTTTAATTCTGGATTTTTTTGAAATTGTTATTGAATTACCTCCGACTGCCAGTATCGCGAAATTTTTCAGAAGCAACTGTAACTAAAAATGTTTCTGCTGCATTCCTTCTACTGCATTTTCAACACGGCAAACTTGTGCAACGTGAATTAAGGAATTCAGCTGTAATTAAATACACGTTTAACTTTATTTTCAGTGTAACTGGAGACTGAAAAAATACCTAGCCGACTGAAAGTTAAGAATAAATCGTGTCTCGTGTCGAAGAAAATTCTCCACACGCGCGATTAATTGAAATTTACGTTTAAGTAGTCGTCGACATTTTATATTGATACCAACAGAATTTTAAAACGGCGACTTGCGATTACAGTGAAAGTTAATTTATTTAGGTGATACGGTATCAAGTATCTAAATTGGAATGATAAGGTTTAAGGCATGGGGCCAACTTTCCCTCGCTCCAATTAGAACCTCTTATCAATTACCAGGACTTTTGACACTCACGCGTGTTACGTTCAAGCAGTATCAATCTCACGATTTCGTCGAGCCAAGAAACCTCTTCGAGTCGTCGAATGTGCAGAGAACTGCGTAACTGATAAGAATCTTCGTTACCGACCGAGCTTCCAATAATCCATCTCGAATTCATTTCCGTCAAGCGAAACAATTCGGATCAAATACAAAAGGAACATTTATTCGATCTAACTTTAATCAACAATCTCAACAACGTACAAAAAGAATGAATCATAGATGACAGTAAATTAATAAACAGTAGTATACAAATTTCCTTTAATCGAAAGCTCTCGTTTAGCAGCATTCACCGTTCGAAATCAATGTTCAGACGATCTCGCCTCCTCGATCGAGCGGGCTCGCTTCGTCAGACGATCCGCGTGGCGCGATCTGTCGGGGGACGCCGGAATCCGTTGAAGGGTAACACAGGAACTACCCTCGAGCAAAAAACCCTTCGTGTGCTTACCGTTCTGCACGTCCTGCTTCCCTTTCCAACGACCGCGTCCCGGGACTCTCCAAAACCGACCGCGGCTGCAAGAAATCCGCCGGGAATGCCTCGCAAAACACGCGCGTACGTGTTCGACATCCGCCATTTTTCCTAATTAACCTGCGCTCCCCGCGGAGGAGAGCGGGAAAAAATCGTCTGGCTCGTCCCAGAGGTGACACGCATTCCAACAGAGGTGCAGCCGCGAAACGACACGGCGGAAAAGGAGGAAAAAAGGGAGACGAAAGGGTGACGCGAAGCTGTCGCGCTCGAGATTTTTTCGCGAAAACACGCGTTTCTGGATAGCGGAGCCGGCAAAAAGATGTTCCATACGATGGCAGTGACCCGAGCTGGGTCGCTAAACGGGTGTAGCATCCACCGACCTTCGTCTCTAAATGGTCAGAAACCAGGCGGCGCGTTTAAGGGCATGGCGCGGACACGCCAAGTGCCGTTCGCGCCGACATTTTTCTTCTCGGTGGAATAATTAATTCGCGATCACGACGGAATCGTAATAGGAGCTGCGCAAGAATGGTGGAGTTTAGGCTGGTGCATACGAAAGTCGTGTTTCCTTTCTGCCGTAGCCGTTCCGTCTCGAAATTCCGATCGGTCACATCGATTCTGGAAGATGACTGGAACAGAACTATAATAGGCTCGCTACAGCGGTCGGACAGAAATTCTGGAGACTGCAGGTTCTTCTTTACGATACTTTTTCGTAGTTTTTTTATTGTGGTACAATTTTTTACTTCGGGGCAAAAACGAGCCAATGTTTTCGAAAGTGAACCAGAAAGCCAGTGGAAAAGGTTCCAGGTTCGGGTTTCGTTTCATCGAAGTTATAAAATATTTCGATCCTCGTACTATCGTCCTGGTTCGCCGCGGTTTCCGGTGTACATCGCGTACATACAAAAATCTTCATCGTCGAACGTATTGTGTCAATAATCATAATTATAATACAATCTTATTCCACGAGGTAGTGTAAGTACAAAGTGCGGAGGAACGGTAACAATAGTCGGATGTAAGATGCCGGGGAACGGAAACGAAGAAGAGAAACGAAAAATGAAAGGGAGGTATTTAACACGTTCAACGTACAGCGAGAAAAATGGCGAGGTACGGCGTTTGTGTTGAACCTATTGGACGCGTCTTCGGGAAGACGCTCGGCTGGTTGTTTCTTTTTTCCCGTTTTTGTTTTTTTATAAAATTCCCGGTCGACGTTTCCCTATGCACCAACCTAACGTCGCGCGGTCGTGAACCGGAAAACGCGTTGTTACCCGATGACCGATGAACACACTTCCTCGATACCGTGCGAACGAAAGAACCATGTTAGGAGATCTCTTGTCGGGTTATCAAAATTACCGTCTAAACTGTACATTTAAATAATATCGATATCGATCTTAATTACGTGACAATTAGATACCGTGCCCCGGCGCCGGGGCGGGAGCCTTAATAAGATCATCATCGAAGAATATCGTTTAGTCGCGTTCGAGATCGTCGCGTCTCGCCGAACGTAATTATCAGTACGACCTGGAACATCGAATTGGATTAAACTGCCTAGAATTCGGGGGGAGGGGGGCGTCTCCGACGTATTGGATCCCCGAAAGTGGACGTGATTCGATTTTCCGTAGCACGGCCGACAGTTTCAATACCAGTCAGAATCATTTTCTCTTTTCATCACTTTATTTACCCTCGCGTTCCATTCCGCTCTCCCTCTCTCACTCTCTCCCTTTTATTGCATATCGTACACTCCGCAGTGCCGAAGAATAAAATAAAAAAAAAGACAATAAGGAAGGAGAAACGAAAGAAAGACAATGGAGTCCGAGTTTTTTCGTCTCAGTGTTCTCCGTTCTCGTTTATCCCTTGAAATGCAACGGATGACGCGTTCGTCGACGAGAAGAAAAACGGTTCGTCACGCGCGTTGCTCTCTCGAATTGTCGTCGTTCGGAGGATGCGAAAGCGCGTGCCGGGGTCGAACGACGGCGACTTGTGAAAGGATTGTTGCTCGCCAGATAAAAGAAGCGGAGGATCAAAGATGTGGTTCAGAAAAATTGTGCGTTTATTAGTGAAGACGACGCTCGGCCGACATTTCTTCGCGTCGCGCCTCGGCCTCCTCCCCTGCGCGCCACCTTTCCCGTCCCGTTCCCGGTGGACGGGGTGCAGAAGAGGCTCTAGGTCGCGTGCCTCGAGCATCCTCGACATTCTTCCGCTTTCGAGACTCTCTACGGTTTCCCGTGTTCGATAACAAAGCAAAGGAGACAAGAATACTTGGAGTTTCCATTGAATCCTCGGCCCCTCCGCCCGCGGGACGGGGCGAACGTTTC